AACCTCCTGCGCCATCTACTGAATGGCACCACAAACAAATATCCATAAAAAAATTCACACTTTGGGTATTCAAGATTCAAATAATTAGATGAATAACTGCGGTTTGTGCAACAACCATTTCTTTATAATAGAATACAATTTTAAATAAAAGTACTGTCCTCAAAACAAGAACACGACTTTCACTATGACTGTATGTGAGGGTTTAATAATATGTTTATTGATGTAATTTTTAACTGTAGTTCTTAAAAAAACAACTTATTTTTTTCAATAAACGGTACAACTTTTAATATATAAAAACATTACAGTTTACATCAGTAAAATGTATTAAAATTATTCGCTTTGTATATTGAATCATTTTGATGCAATGAGTTGAGTATGACTAAAGAGCACACTTCGAACATTTTTTCCGTCCAGTACTTCCAGAAAAAAAACATCATTTTTTTTCAAATTTGTGTGTGTGTTAGTACCAATACCTTAGATTGGGCTTAGTATAGTAATATCTTAACATTATGGTATTTATGTCCAAACATGATATTGGGAGTTGGAATGTTGACTTCAAGGACAGTTCTGTTGTCTTTCCCATTGATGTCATATATTCTAGTCATTTCTTTCTTATTGTTTTTATTTTATTTATTTATTTTTTATGAGCAACCAACTTCTTTGGGTCTTATTTCCGCCGGAACCTAAAAAAAAAACCAGGTTAGATTATATAATGACCCACCTTATGATTTGTGCCCTGGCGTTGGATATTTGTTTTGTGGCTACGTCTATTATTTTTCTCTATAATACTCCCCCCCCCCCCAGTAGTACAGCGGTATTTTTGTGGAGTTACAACGCTAGAAACCGGGTTTCGATACCCGTGGTGGGCAAAGCTGTGCTTAATTATAAACATACACACATTTTATCTTTTCTACTAATAGGTGAGGTACTTTAAGAATTATATTGCTATGGTATTTTTCTAAAACTGTTCCGGCACTGATTGTATAACAATCACATACAGTCCGATGATGGTTCCAGCAAAAAGAGTAAAAACCTCACCAGAATTTGGAGTTTTCAACCTGAGCAGCATCTTATACGATCAGATATTACTGTTCTCAATTTTGAGCTCTGCCCACCACGGGTATCAAAACCCGGTTTCTAGCATTGTAAGTCCGCAAACATACCGCTCTGCCACTGGGGGGCATTTTTGTTTAGAACAACAACTATACGTAGTGGCTGTAAAATCAGATAGGAAGTTTATTCTGAATAGACAAAAGTGTGTGTTGTTTTAATGCAAGGTTACACAATGGGCTATCTGCGATATGTCCATCGCGGAGAATCGAATCCCGAAGTTTAGCAGTGTAAGTCCATACACTTACAGCTGACCCACTGGGGGTAGGGACTAAAAATACTACAAGTAACTCTAACAGATCAGAAAGGATTAATACTTTGTACTTATGGCGAAGAAAGGTTATCTGCCACCGTTTTTAATTTTAAAATACTGCCAGTCAGCAGAATCCTATCACCCATGGTAAGGGATTAACTGTCACTTTTATAACACATAGAGAGCTTAAAGTGCGGAAAATACTTCGTTGTATTTTGCGGATTCGAAACCGATATGCCAACTTGGAAATCCAGAAATCTACTACAGAGCCAAACCGCTCTCCAAACCATCAGAATTATCAAAACGGTATTCGTGATCTTTGAATTAGATTGTTTATTTTTAGATTTACTGCAAGTTATTTGCCTTTTTTTTTCAGTTATCATCGTACTATTTTACTTTTAGCAAATAGATTAATCATTCTTTTTAAAATTCTAGGTTTATAACAACATCGCACCTTGTACCTTCTGATACGCAGCTCGACACGCTAACAACTAGACCACGCACAATTTCTGACTTTAAGTTTATAACTGCATAGTATTGCACGAATTAATTTTTGGTTAATAATTTTGTTCTTAAGCGTAAAGCTGCACAATGGACTATCTGCGTTGCACCCACCACAACGACCCAAACCTGAATTGTAGAGTTATACGCATTCAAATTCACGACTGAGCAATGGACATTAAGTTTTAAATTCTAACACGGAAAACACGTTTAAGTGTATTAAACTTAGTTACCCTATATTCAACCTAATTCTCAGTATAGTACGTTTGAAACGTGTTTTGTTTTTATGATGTTTACTTTCTTGGTATTTGGTTATTAAAAAGAGAAACTTTAATAGGTGAACAAGACATTTCACTAAAACCTGAGGCTAACGTTTTTCGCATTACGTTTGTTATTACTATAGGGGTTGCGATACGAGTATCGTATCGTGAAACCGTGATACGATTGTATCGATACATCGTCCGATATGATTTATCGTCACGAACTTTGGCAAGCTTTCAGTAAACATTATAAGTATTTTGTACAGAAAAAATAAGAATTTCTAATAAAGTATTTTTGCTAAACATTAATGATTCAATAAAGGAAGATGAGTATTGAGTACTACATGTTGTCTTCGGTTCTTTTATCAAAAACATTACATGTAAAGTAACATAACAAATTAACAATAACAAAACAGATAGATTGATATTAACTTATTCTATTTTACCTCTTTTGCCAGCTGCAATTTTGGTTGATCAAACCTGAGAATTTGAAAAAGCACTGTAAATAAGACAATGTTATTAATATAGATAATAAATTACAGACAAGACTGTTAAACTTTGTAACAAACCGTTGATAAAACTTCTGTTATCTAGTTACGTATCGTATCGACTACTGTGATGAGATACGCACCCCTAGTTAATACACAGACACTATTTTTTTAAGCGCAAAGCTACACAATGAGCCATTTGTGCTCTGTTCACCATGTGAAACCAAACTTTGTATTTTAACATTTAAGTCCGCAAATTTCTCTCTCACACACACAAACTGAAACCTACACTTCGGTAGATGTTTATTACTAGAAAACCACAAATATTTGTCATCATACTACACGATACACAGCTTCTCTCAGTAAACGTATTAGTGTTTAAAGTTCTTGTATAATACCGAGTTGAGCTATAATACATTCGAGTACCCACTTTGTGAAAGAGCTTTTACAATTACTCCATCAGTACAATTTTGTTAATCACCTGCGACATAAATGATATTCTCGTTGCTCTACCGTTGGAAGCACAGCAATGTCTTCCACTACAGTATGAAGCAACTGAGGAGTCAAAGAACTAGACATCTTATTAAGTGTATTCTTTGGACCTTCTGCTAGACTGTCGTAGTCAAACACACACGCACGAAAATTCCTCATGATTGTTAAGGTACATCTTTTTGACAGAGCTTGTTTTGTTTAAAATTTTGCGCAAAGCAATTTCAAGGCTAACCGCATTAGCCATCCCTAATTTAGCAGTGATAAACTAGAGAGTAACCAGCCAACTCTTTTAACGAATAGTGGGCTGAAAAAGAGAAAATATTCGGTGATTGGGGTTTTGAAAGAAAATGGCTCACGACATCGTGGAAGATGCGAGATTTGGAAGAAGAATGTAAAGTAAAATAACAACTTACAGTTGAGCGTTTGTTGAAAAAAATCAGTACATTTGTTTTTTAAGGGCATAATTAACATAATTTGAATTTTAAGTATAATTTTGATGGGAATAACCTTAACAATGTCATGAAAGAAAGGGATCTTGGTGTAATAGTTGATCAGTCTAAAGCTATCCAAGCAGTGTGCCGTTGCTAGTGGTAGGGCAAATAGGATTTTAGGTTGTATCTACAGAAATATTGATTACAAGTCTAAAGATGTTATAATTTCATTGTATAGGTTGCTGGTTAGGCCTCATTTGGAATAATGGGTTCAGTTTTGGGCTTCTTACCTTAGGAAAGACATTGAATTGTTGGAAAGGGTTCAGAGAAGGGTTACTAGGATGGTGCCAGAGATGAAGTGGTTGTCATACAAGGAGAGGTTGAAATCTCTCAAATTGTTTTCTTTTGAAAAAAAAAAAAGTCAGAGAGCGATTGCACTGAGGTGTTTAAGATTGTAAAGGGAATTGATAGTGTTGAGGTTTTATTTTTCTAATAGGGTGGTTGGCCTTTGGAGTGGGTTGCCGTCAGATGTTGTGAAAACAGCAAATTTAAGTGAGTTTAAGAGAAAGCTTGATAAGTACATGAGTAAGTGCTGGCTTTAAGTTGTTTTTTTTAATTTATTTAGTTTAGATGATGGAACAGTTGAGATGGACCAATAGGACCCATGTTCTTCCTAAATGTTATGTGAAAACCAGTACAATATATTTCAGATTACGTGAAAAGATGCTAGGACTATCTGCACATAGCTATACCAAATTTTGAACTAATAGGCTAGAAAGAACACCAACTCTTGCCTGAAACAAAGTTCAGCTTTAATAAGCAGTGCTGTTTTAATAATGTGATTAATTAACATATCATTATTTCTATTTTTTATTTTATCAGTACATTACAGGATTAAAAAATGCTTTGAATATATTATACAAGTATATCTATTATAATTTTCAACTTGAACCTTGTAGGCCAGATTAGAGATTAGTACAGTTCAGATGTTGCTGTCCCTAATTTTGAACAACTGGCCAAATGGAGGGCAACCAGTTAGGTACACCTACCATCATACGAGTCTTGTCTGGCTTTATGGGCTGAATAATAAAATTAAGTGTCTTTCACTTTTACAATGTGCCCACAACTAAAGTTCAGAATGAGTTCCATAGCATCATGGCTAAGCCTTGAATCCTATGATCCACAGGCCAACCACTAAACACTACCATGGCAACTTGCAGTATTTGAAACCTACTTTTGTCACACATTTGCAACACTTGCTGTATATGGATATTGAAAAAAGCAATATTTTATTTAATATTATTTTGGCTCACAACAAAATTATGTCTTTCTACAAAGAAAAAGTAAGAGAGAGCAAACATTAATTTAATAATAAATATTTAATTAATATTTAATTAATAAATAATGTCACTGGCAATATAAAAGTTGGTAAAATAAAATCTTTATTTCAAAGAAAGGGATGTGATTCATAGAATAAACAAGTCAATCATTTGCATTAAGAATAGTGCATATACATGGTACCTTAAGCAAATCATTTACTATTTAATAATAAAACTTTAAAGAAAGTGGTAACTATATTCACATACTGGACAAACAATAAAGACTTCATTTTCCACAAAATACAAAGAAGAAATCACTGAGGTAATTTAGAAAAACTTAAAAATATTTGCTCACAAAATTTTTTTACAAGTTAACACAGGAAGTGTTAGAGTCTGAATAGAAAAAGTTAGTAACACTCATTCATTTGAACTACAAGACAAAAATCTAACCCTCCAGAGTTCAAAATCTACATTAAATTTGATACTTTAAACATTTTTATGTACAAGTATAATATTAATCTATGTACATGAAACTGACAATGAAACACATTTTAGAGCTCATCTTTTACGAGTCCGTTTTGAAGTATTTATGGCAGTTGTTTCTCCAGACTTTCGCTTTTTATCTGCAGTTGACTCCTGTAAAAAATGCATTACTTCAGGTATTAACCATTCAGATGGAGGAGGAGAAGGGTCTTCTATTAAACTAAAAGCTAGGAACTCTGGTTTCACACAATGTATGCCTGCAGATGCTAAATTTTCCAAGTCTGTTTTGCTCAGTGAATTGTTTGGGAGGTCTATAAAAGCATGAGTAACACCTTGTAGGTTGAAATACGGTGGTGCTGCCTGAACCACTTCTGCACCACCAATTGTTAAAATACGGCTATAAGTGGAAGTCTTCTGCCTATCTGCTAACACCAGAACTTTCCAATCTTTGAATGCACCAGCATTCAAATTTGGATTTTTCAAACATTCATCTTGAATTTTAACACGCCAGCGATGGGGACATAAAGCTATTTTGACCATTTTTTCAGGCATCTTAGCTAAAAGATAATGGCAAGCCTTTCCTCCCCATTCATGGTCTTTTTCATCCACAAACTTGCCTGCTTGTCTACAAGCTTCCATGTAAGACTTGTGCAAGACCCACTTTCCCGATGCAACACTGGCCAAAAATTTTTCATTTTTTAGCGGTTGTTTCATAATCAAGTGTGTGGCCGTTTTGTCTACACACTTCAAGTCTGACACCTTTCCACCTAATTCTTCTATAAGAGCAGAATAGTCATCTCTTTCTTCTTCTGACAGACCAGACAACATAAATTTCATAATGTTTGAATTACTTACTTTTGCTGTATTACTAGTTGATCCACTTGAAGAAATATTTACATTTACATTTGTAGTTGATTTATCACTTTCTGAGACCAAGCTCTTATCATTCATTGGTTCTGTTATTTCTACTTCAAGCTCTGGTTCATGATTTGTAGTTGGGCTAAGAGACTGTGTTTCCTGAGTTTGTTTTCCATTCCTAGCAAGTTGTTCAGCTATTTTTTCTCTCTCTTGTCGACTTAATGGATCATCCCAGGTTATAGGTACACTCTGTGAAGCTTCAGAGGCTATGATCCCATTAGATCCTGCATTTTCATGTTGAACATTTTGCTCTGGTTTAATTTTCGACCTATCCGAAAAATTCTGATTCACAGAAGAGTTAGAACCATTGGAACTATTTAATCTTCTACTCAGACATTTTCCTGCTTTGGCAGTTTTTGTTGCTGACATAATCTCTTCCAACTGTTTGCTAACTTCAGCTTGTGTTTCACCTGACACTTCTTGTCTCCCATCTTTGATTTCATTAAATATTTCATAAGAACTGCTATTTATAAAACCTTTGGCATCTTTCACAGGTGTTTTGGATAACTCCTTTTCAGTCCCTGACTGACTATAATTTACATGCACTTTCTTGGTTGAAACTTGTCCAGAAAGTGACATTCTTGGATTAAAGGAGTATGGGAACAAACTTTCATCTACTAGTTCATTCTCATCTCTGCAAGCATACACCCAATCAGGGCAAACAATGTGCTTGCCCTGTTCTTTGGCTAATTTCAGCTCTCTGGTAATGTCACTGGATTTACCCTGGTAAACAAAATGAGTACATTTTGAATCATAAGTCCAACAATAGTCTCCTCCCAGCAAACCTATTATTTTATTTAGCTCACCCTGCTTGCTACTTAATTTTTTGGAAACACAGAGAACAACTCCAGCCAATGGCCTCTCTCTTTTATTTTTAGAGTGAAAAGATTCATTTTTTTCAGAAATATCTCCTTTTTCAATTTTGTTTTGTGGTTCAGCCTCTATTGGTTGTTCATTAGCTCCAAAATTCTTCAGAGCAACTGATAAGTTATGTTTAAAGAAATCTTCCAATGGCAAGCTTGACCTTCGTCTTCTACTATTTTCAATTGCAGGAGTTCTTTGACTTCCAGGTGAATCCAGACAATTCAGTGCATCTGTAACATCATACTGGGGAAAATATTCTACCCCAGGGATCAGAAAATTGCTAGGAGAACATACACCAGTTGATGATCCATCTGATACCTTTCTCTGTGGTGTCACTTTTTCATCTCTCATTAGTTCTTTGACCCGTTGATTGATGATAAGAGGTGTAGCTGGCTTTCTTTGGTCAGTATCATTTTTCACTTGTTCTGATGAAAGAATCTGGTCATGCATTTTTGATTTTGTGTCCAATTTTGATTTCAGTTCTTTTTCTTGATTTGCAGCAGTTAAGTTTTCAGTTCTTTGTTCTTCAGTTTTTGTTTCATCATTCTTTTTAAGAACCTCACTATTGCATTTCTCCATGTTTTGAATCAGTTTCTTATCTTCAACATTAACACTTTCACTATCTACCAAGAAATCTTCTTCTAGTGCTTTCTCTCCACTTTCAGCAGTTTCTAGAAGCCAATCCTTTTTCACAGCTGGTATATTCCATTTTTTAGCAGCTTCATACTTACTTCCTTCTGGATTCTGAACAACTAGATGGGTGTTAGGTAGAAGACCACGACTCTTATTTGCCTTTCGTACAAAGTACTCCTGGCATGTACCTCCCAAAACCTCTGCCAAATGCATTAAGCAATCTCTTTCTGTTCCTGCATACTGACTAAATGACAAGACACAATTGTTTAGTGGAGAGTTCTCTGGTTTTACTACAATAGGTCTAAAAAGAGGATTTCCATTAAATGATAACAACTTCTCATTTTCTAAACACATCTGTAGCCAGCAATTTGTCACAATTTCTTTAGCAAACACATCTACCTTGCCCCCTGTTAATGGAAGTACAGCAATGTCTGGTGTAATCTTGTTTGTGTCATTTATTAGTATTCCACCATTTGTTTCAACCATTTCTGCAAGTAGTTCAGTGTCTTTCAGGCCAAAACCAACAATGGTAATTCTTAAGCCATCAAATATGTAAGCATCTGATTCTTCCTCATTATCATTTTGTTTTTCATTATCCACGTCTGCTTTTTCTTCTTGAGGATTAAAAACTGACAAATGTTTGTCATATGCTACGTTGGCTTCTTTGGCAAGAGGCAAACACACTTCATCCATGGTTTTGTCACTTGGAAGATACTGGTTCATTATATCACTAAAATCTGTTGGAGCACTGTTTTTTTCTAAAGAAATACGTTGTTCCATGTTATCTTTTTCTTTAAAGGATGTTGGTTCTAATCCAATTTGAATAGCCTCTGGTTGAAATTTGCTTACTACAGTGTCTAAGCAAGAATATGGATTTTCATCCACTAGTTTTCCCTCTTTACAGCAGTGAATTAACCACTCCAACCTAACAACAAATGGTCTTACTGAATTCTCTGATAGCAGTCTGATGTGATCTTCGCTATGATCTCCAACAATAACATGAGTTACATTTTCACTTAATTTGTTAAATCTCATTCCTCCTGCTGCATTGATTATCTTTTGCAATTTTTCTAAGAGTTGGCCTGACCAACCAGAAAGAAAAATTTGACACCCATCTAAGAAATTACCTTTCTTTTGAATTTCTTTGACATTCAAATTATTTAAACTCTCAAGGAGAGAGCTATTCCTGTTAGGTTTTGCAGTGATAATAGTGATGTCACTTTGAGCTGTCTCATCAAGTCGACTAGTTGAACTAACATTAGCTATTGTACTACAATCTACTGCTTGTTGGTTTGGATAAACACTATTTTTCTTTGGTGTTGATGTTTCTTGTTCCTGTTTTGCTTCGGACACTAACTGATACAAAGTTTCATCCAAACAATACCCAGCCGAGATGCTATCATATATCCACTCCACTTTTACACAATACAATTTCCATGTTTTAGCAAATTTAAACTTTTCTCCTTTTGGTTCTACAAGAACTAAATGAGTTGTTTCTTTAGCTTTGAGAGCACCAGAATAACTCCCACCATTGTCCTCTATGATCTTTTGGATTTTTTTTCTTTCATCACTTTCAATTTGTGAAACAGTAATGTTAAGCCCCTTGAACACAGGACAGCGATAAATATTAAAGCATGGATCGGATGCATGGATCCTTTGATGTTGTCCTTGTTCCCAGCATTCCTCCACCCAGTTTGGTAGCATGACTGGTAAACTAAAGTTGGCAGCTACATGGTACTTTTTGGAGCCAACCTCCCCTACAAAAACATACCAATTATTATTTACACAAAATAACATTATCTCAAAATCTAGTAAAGCAATCAAATGCATATATTATATTAAAAAACACACACACACACAAATATTTTGAAGAATATAACTATACACTTAGTGTAAAAATTAAATTAACAGCAGACATATGGAAGTCTTACTTTAGGCTTCATTTGAACATACTGAATACTATGAAAGTAGTTTTTAATAACATTATTTTTCAAGTTCTAATTAAAAAATCCTTTATAATAATTGAAAAATAACAACATACACATATTGCTGGAGAAGTCTGGATGATTTCTAGCTCTACTGATGTCAAATAGTGATGTAACCAATTTATAATAAAAATGTAGAAAATTCATAGCATATACCAATTTAGTTCTCGTATATGTGGAAAAACAAATGTTACATTTTTTAAAAATGTATTTCCAATAATACTTTCCTCACCTCACAGTATAGCTATTACTCAACTGTCAGGGTTTCTTCCATTGCCCATCTAAGCATTGATCTGATTTTTTTCTAACTTGCTCCAGCTTTTTATACCCCACTTAATTGCCCTTGTAGATATACATGTCTTGTGACACTCTCCACTTACATCAATGCACCCTCAATCCTGGTACTATATATAAGCACCTCATTCAGATAACACTGGCTCTTAGTAGGGAGGATGGGTGGGAGAGTGTGCGAGGCCCCAACCAGATAGCTGAGGTTCCACTACTCAGGGTTGGAATTATATGGCCATGATCTCTATATGACACATTCGTTGTAGGGCAATTGGACTGCAATATATATATATATATATATATATATACTTACGAGTGAATCCCAACCTGTAGCCATCCGAATCACAACAAGAAGGCAAGCAACACTGAAGTGGACAAACCTTCTCCTCAACCTGAAGAAGTTTTAAAGGCAACATCCCAGGCTTGAAATTACAAGATTTTGTATGCCTTACTCAACCTGAGGAAACAGAACTTATCCAGTCTGGGTTTATGAACCCTCATCCTAACTCCCAAACAATGTGGGCAAAGTAAATTCCACTTGCCCCCGGAATGATGAGGGGACAATGGACCCTCTTCCATGAACACTGTACTGAATCAATATTGATCAAAAAGAAAGGCCATGTTCAACCCAACCGTATAGCAGAGCATCAAATCAGAACTGGTATTACAAGTAGGCTTCCACAAAGGCTGGTGCCTCTCAAATCAACATCTGGGAAAAAAACATCCAGGGACACGGTTAGGAGGGCCCACAACGTTGCCCTCTTCTCCAATAGTGGAGGAAATTCAGTCTAACACTCTGGAAGAAAAGCCTCTGTCCACCACACCAGTGACTGGAAACCGGGTGTGGTAAGGACTCCCTAGCTCCACTAGTAAAATCTGGGGGTAATGCACACTGAGGAGTCCTGAGGAACAATGCTCTGGAAACAGTGCAATAGGTGAAAGAAGATCCCTAAGTTTTTAAAGGCAACCTGACCCTGATTTATTCAATCCAATGAGGATCCCCTTATGCTTTACTAATGATAGTCTATGAGTGGCAGTCTAGCATAGTATAATAATACTACCTGGTCAGCCTCTAGGTGGTCTTACGGAACACCTTATTTCTACAGAGTCTGTTGCAACCTGGATAAAGTACACTGAATTAGTGGATGCTAGTGCGAAATTGGTTTGATAAAAGCACACCTGCCTGGGCAACACTCACCATAGAATGTGATCCTGTGAAAACGAGATAAGGGATCCTGAAATGTAAAGTACAGACAAGCACATTAATGAAAATACTCACTCCTCTGTATAATGGAAATGGTTAAGATAGCTACAGGGGTTAGTCGAAAACTCTCAGCTGAAGATACTGCTAGATCATACAAATAATGTGAGATAAAAGTATTGTGCCACTAAGGACATAGAAATGTCATGAATCTGATGTAATGTGACTCGCAGAAGATTCTTCGTCTTAAATGAGAGCCCAGAATAAATCATATAGAACAATTCTGTACCCACCTCATCAATGTAACCGAGGATAAATCCTGGGAAATTGAATGATCCCAATGATAAATAGTTATCTAGCATCTATAAAGGCATTAGTGCAGGCAACAAAACCTTCAAGACCCTAACTGGACATAAACGATCAAAACCTGATCAGCCATAAAAGTAAGAAATACTGATCAGATGAATAGGTGAAAAGAATTTATCCCCTTCTGAGAGTGTCTTAGGGAAGAAGAACTGGTCTGAGGACATAGGTAGAATGAAAAAGCATCCTGTGGACAATCAGTGCAAACCACTCTGACCAGCAATGTCTGTAGGTCAGAAGCAACAAAAAATAAAACTTCAGGGATACATAGCACATGATTCTAAGGTCACAATGAGTGTTAAGAAAGAGCATGTAATGTAAACTTAATGTACCAGTTAGGTAACTGGAACAGTCGTTTGGGACAAAGGACCCAAAGGGATTTGAGGAAGCCGTAGAGTACTGGGGACTCAAAGGATTTTTTTCTTGAGTATTGAACAGTAGTCCATAAGGCCGCCTTATAAAGGGCGATTGTGAAAGATGCAAAACCCTAGTGAAAGAGCCAAGTCAAAAAACAAGTTATGGTTGGCACTTATGATCGAAGTGGGTTTAACTGCCTCTCAATACACCACTGCCAATAAGGGTGCCATTTTTGTTGAAAAATGTCCATCATGGGATTAAGCAAAGACAGACAGATAAATGGCAACCTTAGAAAGTAAACCCTGACTGTCAAGGACTGCATAACCTCCATGCCTGAAGCTTGAGCTTCTGAATATCTGGGTGTACCATGTCAGATCATGGCTGCCTCCACAGAAATGACCAGAAGAATGGAAGAGGTGGGCACTCCTGAAGGTACCAAAGAAGCAGAAACCAGGGTGTAGCTGCCAATCTGATGCTATTAACAGCAACCGACCATGGGTTGGAACAAATCATATTTAGTACCTTGGGTAATATGCAAATTGGAGGGAAAGCCTAGAGTTGTAATCCCATCCTGTCGAGATGGAATGCATCCACTGCCAAAGCCCGAGGGTGAGGTACTGGAGACCAAATTGCCAGTAGTTGGGTGTTCCAAAGAGTGGTCAATCCACCAATCATCAATGTTTTAAAATGAGAGCCAATCCAACAGAAAACCTTGTGATGCAGCATCTATTCTGTTAGGAGCATCTGTTTGGGTTGAGACAATTGATCTGCTACTTCAGTAATCACCCGTGGAACATGACAAACTAGTAGGGTGACATGATGATAGACATGGTCTTGAGAAAGGAGATCCAAGATTTGACATGCAAGACACCACCATGGAAATGTTAGAGTGAAGCCTGACAATTTTCCCTTTAATAAGCCCAAACCATGAGGCATCTCCTTTTGAAAAGAAAGAAGGTCTAAAGCACTGTGTAGGGAAGCCTCATCATCCTGGAGTTCCTGACTGTTGAGATATGCACCCCGTCCCTGAAGCGTGGCATTCGTCAAGAAATGGATTCCTGGATGAGGTAGTGGCAGAGGAAACCATATCTTAGTAATGTCTCGATCTAACAACTTCTTGAGATCAAACAACAATCATGAATAATGAAAATGGGGAATCCAGTGAATTGATGTTTATGATCCCTTGGTCACATAAAGACCATTGAAAGGATCTCTTATGTGCTCATCCCAAAGGCATGAGGGAATCGAGTTATGCCCACATTCCCAAAAGAGAAAGAAACATTTCTGCAGTGAGAGAAGGAGAGGTAAGTAAGAGTCAGGCTTCCTGTTTCATAGCATGGAGCTGGATGGGAGTTTGCTGAGCAGGAGTGAGATACATGATGAAAAATACCCAGACTGACAACATATAGTTGGAGCAAGAATAGATGTCTGAGCTCTGAGAATGAAGTCTGCCTTGGTTGTTTCTAAAAGTAGAATCCGGGTGTGATGTTCAGACAATTGACGAGATGGTGTCAGTAATAACCAGTCATCCATGAAATGGTGTGTGCACTGGGCTAGGTATTGGATGTGAAAAGAAAATGCCCATACAAAACGGCAGAGCCTATGTGGTATTGATACTAATCCGAAGGTAAAAATCCTGAACTGCATTACCTGATCCTTGTGAAAAAAAAAAAAATGATGACAGTAGCAGGACATCTCCACTATGGCAATGTGCAGGTAGGAGCAAACTACATCGAACTTGGACATCATAAACCTAGCAAAAAACAACAACTCAGAGCGAGAAATAAGTCATTTATGAACCTTGGAGAATCTAGGAATGAATATAGATAAGAAAAATAGAAGACTGGACACTAATCTTCTGTCTTCTTGGGCCCAACAAACTGATAGGAATAAAAGCTTGGAACAACTGGAATGACTCTCTCTCTACCCCCAGACTACCCAAACTCTGATAGCCCTAAAACTAAGTTCCAAAATCTGAGAATATGGAGGAGAGACAAACTCTATAGGTTGGGTAGATAATGGTAGTGAAGATGTGAACAGAATGACTAATCTTGACTCAAGGACCTGTAGTGTCCATAGATTTGTGGTTAAGGTTTACCACACATCCAGAGATTCTCGGAGCTGAGCTCCCACAGATCCTGAAGGCATACAATAATCACCAAAGCTGGTGGTGGTGTTCCGACTGAGCAGCAGAACCCTTGGATATGGACAAAATCTATTCTAGATACCAATGGACTGAGGGGCTGATGTTGGAGGGTTGGTACCCTCAAATAGGGGCAAAACTATGACCCCCTATAGGAGCCAATGAAAGTCAAGACACTAACGATGACAGGGATAAATACAGAAGCCAACAATCAAATCATTGTGCATGCTAACAATGGGTCCAGCTCGTCATCAATGGTCTTGGTGATCCTGAGTCTTCCAACAAAGTTTAGTTTTAGGACAACACCTTGGACTTGAGTTGTAAGTCCATAGAGTTACCACTGCCCCACCAGAGGGGCCTTGATCTATTAAGTTTAACTATAAAGTCCACTCTAGAACCCGTAATTTCTAGAACCAGGTGTATTCTTTGAGAGTCGGAATATGCTTCCACCTAGCGGTGGTAGGCAAAATCACGTAGTTCCAACAACCATGCCAGATAAGGTACAGCTGTAGCTTCACATGAATGAGCAGTAAACCTCCCTGCATGAATCAAAATGTCAGTGGATGGAGGGAAAACTAAGTATTCACTCCCATACCTTTCAGCCATCAAGTAAGGTCCAGGCTCAAAAGCAACTGGGGAAAGATCCAAAACATCACACACTCAATGGACCAACTGAAAAAAAGAGAGCATGAGGCAGCTTATCACAAAGTGGCCTCCTGAGAAGCCAACAGAATAAAAGAAGGCACAGGAAAAGTGAACCTAAATTCTCTCCAGAATGTTCGGGATTGCCCTCAATTGCAACCTCCCAGAGGAACACCACTGAACAAAATACGTCTCCATCTCACTACAATAGGCTAACTGACAGTCTCAACCGAGAGTGCTTCTACCCCCCTACATATCAGAGGTGGGATAATAGAGACCTGATTTTCCTCTGTGCTGGAAATAATAATCCACAAATTTGTGCTGTATATTGGTTTGTCAAACAAAACATTTTTTATTTTTAACAAAAATCAACTGGGTAAAACGAATAATGCTCAAATTACCACCTAACGATCATAACACAGAGAAACTCATTAGTGAACGTTTTGTCGAGAAAAAAATGATAACATTATCTGAATGAGGTGCTTATATACAGTACCAGGATAGAGGGCACATTGCAAATCGTTTCCCTCTTAATTAAGGATACTGTATTTTTCATGTGAACTATTTTGTTCAGGCAAATATAATATTGATATATTTTTTATATTTATTT